AAAGAACGCGCATCCCTCCTGTAAACAATAAAAACTTTTGCCCACATCTTGTGAACAGTCCGCCAGGCTGTTTTGAACAAATGTGCATAAACTGCACGCTTATAATTCTTCATAAAAGAAAATAACATATTTAAATATGCCTTTTAGGGCTGTCAAAATGACTGAAAAACTAAATTCGAATTTTCTACTTAAATATTATCAAAATTCGAATTTAGTTTTTCAGTCATTTTTCAGCCCTAGTTGCGTTAAACGCTGATGGGGAACGCATCCAATAGTGCCATGCTATAAGCAAGCGCAGAACGTAGCCGCTCTGCGAGCCCTGCCCCAGAGTGCCTACAAAAGCATTCAAATGCAATCAATGACACATACATCGTCATCGCAGCTTGTGCGCCACTGATAAGGCTGCCTGACGGCTGACACAGACCTTAAATTCGAATGCAACGTTTTTTGTTAAAGCATTATTATTGAATTTCATAAGTTCCACTTATGATTTATGCGCGTTTGTTCACGGGAAAGTGAGTAAGACACAACAGTTATGGTATCATGATTATGGTTAAATAAGATGAAAGACATAATATAAAGAAATTAGCTACATTTATTTTCAAATTAAAAATCACAACACACATGTATCATTCAGTAGTGCGTTTTAAATATAATGTAAGCGCAACTTGTGTAGATTTAAAAGGGCATGACTGCTTCATTTTGACGTGCATTTGAATACTTTTACCATCTAATCATTCTCAGCATGCTTTAATTTTGTGTCTAGACATTTGCATCACTAAGTTTAAATCAGCATAAGCCTTTTTTGGCCTGTGCTCTGGAAGTGATCTGTTAATTCTGCTAAACTTTAATTAGCCTACTAAAACTAAAACTGAAACTAAAAATAAAACGAATTTAAAAATGCAAAACTATAATAACCTTGAATCACACACAACCTCAAAGGTGAAACATTACCCCCTCTGTATGTGCACAGCCAAGAATAATATAGAGAAGTCATCACATTCAGTCCTCGGATATAAACAGCACAGTTATCTCTGTTTAAACATCGAAATTCAGTACAGATGTGACAGCAGGTGACTTGAGCTCTCTGTAAGAGGAACTGTAAGACACAGTAAGAGGAACTGATTTAAATCTACTGAAAAGAGTGTGTTATTGTGGAGTGTTATTGAAATGCCAGCCTGGTTTAATTTTAGTCTGTACTCTCACAGGGGAGAGACAGTGAGATCCGGGCACAATGGCACATGTCAGCAATGACAGAACAAACGTAATGAGAGCGTTCCCCCGTGGCCTGACGTGCGTGTGTGTGTGTAAGTGATAAGAGAGACATAGGTTTACTATACAGTGTCATGGTCTGGACGGGCACAGAGGAGAACACACACACGCACCTCATCCAGGGGTCAGCTTCAACTTGAATCTCTTCGGGGAACATGGGTATGAATATTAATTAAAAGAGGGCCGTTTGGAGTGATTGGGTTCCATTGTTGGACTCCTGAGTGTATTATAGGCGGAGAGACTGATGCTGACTTACTCAGTCTGAGATATTGTCTCCAGCCACACGCACGCACACACGCCGTCACTCACACACACTGAATATCTGGTCAATGTGGTAATTACAAAGAGCTGGAAGTGAGAGAAGAGGAGCAATCTAGGGCATATCTGGGGGTTAGGGAGCAAAGGCAAAAAGTCCCTGGAGGAATAAGATAGAGAACAGAACAGAGACATAGAGACTGATGGAACAATGGCTGATCCGAGCTGACTGTGCTCACAACATACATACACATGAGAAGCACTTGTGTGAGTATATGCATTCATGCAGACAAATAAACATGCACAAAAATAGTCACAGGAAACAAATGAAAACATACCTGTGTGCTGACTCCAAAGTCACACAGTTTGATCTGACCCCGTGTGTTAACCAACATGTTGGAGGGTTTCACATCTGCACAGAGAAACAACTATAATATTACAATAATATTTATCAGTATTTAATATTATTGTCACTAAATGAATGTACTTTTGCGGTGTAATCTGGTAGACAACCTTACTGAAACCAAATTTTTAAATATTAGTGCACTTAATTTGACTTCTAGATACATATGCCTAAACAGTCAATTTCTTACACCGATATCCAACATCTGGATTTTTATTTTTTTTTTTTACACATTTTACAAGTTACATAAAAGTGGCTTTCTCACCTCTGTGTAAAATCTTCAGGCTCCAGAGGTACGTTAATCCTTTTACCACCTATAGATACACACAAACAGCAATACTCATTGAAAACAAACTCAGAAGAGACTCTCATGAGATGAGAGCTATGTCTGTAGAGGATAGAGCTGTAAATTGTCTAAACAGTGGCATATCTTTGATTATTGTGAGAAAGTGTGAGGGAGAGGGTAATGGGAGCAATGACAATTGAGCACTAATAAAATGTTACAAAGACAAAACACACATACACACACTGGTCAGAGCTGTAACAGATTCTTGGACATGCCGAAATCTCTAAAATCCAAGCTTTCAAAATTCCCTGATACACTTATTCGATAACAGTTTCATGACTTGAAGAGGACTTACCGCAACAGCAATTCTTCCCAACACATGCTCTGGGATTCTCCAGTAGACATCCAGAGAGCCACCTACATTCAAAACAAATAATTCAATTAACTTTGACATATTGTGAGTGATGCTTTCCTGTGCAAATGTTGCCTAGATGCCTGACAAATGTCAAAACAATTGAGACTTACCATCCATAAACTCAGTGCATATCGATATTCTGTTCTCCACAAAGAAAGCACTGTAGAACTTTATGATGTATGGAGAATCACACTGTAAAAAACACAATCAATCAAATATATCAAAACGAAAAATTTTATATGCCATAACACAATTTGCACTTTATCATAAATGTACATAACCACTGAAAAGTTTGGGCTGTGTAAAATTTTTCATTTTTTTATGCTTATGAAAGATGCTCACCAAGATTGTGCTGCTTAATATTTTTGTGGAATCTGTAATACATTTTTTAGGATTCTTTGATGAGTAGAAAGTTCAAAAACAGCATTTATACTTTTATAACATTATAATTTATTTTACTGTCACTTTTGATCAATTTAATGTGTCCCAGCTGAATAAAGGTATTCATTTCTTTTTAATCTTACTGACCCCAAACTTTTGAACAGCAGAGTATGTTCATTTATCAAATTAGCTAGTTAATGGCATTGCAGTGATATGAACACGGCTTTATGAAAAGGTTATTTATTTATACATTTTGGCTAACAGTTTATTGCCTAAGCTTGAATAATTGAGATTATTAAGAAATTTTTCATGATTCACCGGATGGTTCTCAATGATACTTCATTATTAGGAAAATACATGATTGATTGTTTCCAGTGAAAAGATGTGGTTAATTGTTTCATTAAGTGTTTGGCTGGTAGTTATTTATAGTAAGCCATGTAATGCTAATGCCACAGTATTTTATTCAGAATGTGAAATTGGCTGATTATTCTGTGTGATTGGCTCGTTGCTGCAAAGGGTGATTTGTAATAAATTAAAGTCTATCCTGCAGCTGTTTTCAGAGCAGGTTACAGGAACAGGTGGACTGAACTACATAGGCATTGATCCCTGAATAATTCATGACACTTCTTTTATACTTATCACAGTCATGCACCTCATATACACCTAATCTGAAAGCTGAAACCACACACAGCTCTAAACAAGTTTGGTTTTTACCTGGAACGTGGCTCCAAACTTTACCAAGAACAAAATGTATTCAGGTGTTACTTTTCACAGACTCTCTTAAGACTAACAAAGTGACACTTGAGTGCCAAAGAGAGGGCAAAATGCTCTAAGTTTAGTTTAGAGGGAGGTAAGAAACTGATATGACTACAGCATTGTCAGTTGCTGATCGGAATTAGGCCACTGTTTTTATTCACTGGAAAGAGGACTGAAATGCATTTATCTTATAGATACAGCTTAAGTAATCAAGCAGACAGAAAAGGAGGTTCAGACCTTATAAAGGATCTCAAGCTCTGACATGATCTGCTTTTGCAGCTCCACTGTGATGTCGAGAGGAATCACCTGCAATACAAGCATAAGGCCAGCATTTGAACAAACACACTCACACTGACCTTTCTGAGCTATCAACCGAGCACTTGAAATCTCAAATGAAATCCATTTTCACCCAAACAGAACTCTTAAGCAAAATTAGTTATATCGAAATCACATATGCAATGCTAGACACTTCCCCCTGCTTTTTCCCAACAATTTTACATCAGGTAAATACAACTTGCAAACATAAGCAGTCATTCGAGTATACTTTTCTGTTTGTGCGTCAATACTTCTGTTTCAGCTGGCTTTTGAGCTTGAAAGTGAATGCTTGAGAAACATGCTCAAAGAGTTTCTCTTCAACCAGTACTGACAGGAAATTAAACAGACTACCATTAAAAAAACAAAACAAACAAAAGCAGGCAATTAAACTCCCACAAAGATATTCCAAGGCTGTATTTTCATCTAATATTACAAAGTTCTGAAATAAAAACAGTTATGTTTTTCTTGCAACCTAGGTTTTTGTTCTCTCTCTTCTCCACTTTTGTATTGAAGCAGCGACTAGCTAAAATGCTTCTTTAGTTAAGGTTAGATTATCAGCCTCCCACTGAAATAATTGATTACAGGTAAGGCAGTAAGGCAAGGCCACGCAGTTAAAGCTCAGCAGAGATCACTTACAGCCTTAGCCAAATAGATAGCCCTGCTCGAGCAGACCCAGGCAGAGCGCAGACGGAAAGATGAGCAGACACAGCAGAAGATACAGGAGGAGAGGAGGACAGATAGGAGATAAGACAGAAGAGAAGTGAGAGGATAAAAGTAAACTAAACAGATGTCAATGAGGACGATGGGAAGGGGGAGAGAGAAAAAATGTGAGAAAAGAGTGGAAGAAATGATGGAACAGAGAACAGCTAAGATAGAAAAAGAAAGAGCTGCTCTGGAGTATGAGGGTCACAGGGTCTCAATCATGCTTAACTGTGGCAATGTAGGAGTGCTGGATTTGCTCTTTTGTGCTCTTCAATTAGTAGAGCACTATTAACATCTCCAGCGGTTAATCATTGCATCTTGCTGCAGTAAAGTCCACCTGTAGCAAAACCACCTGAGTTCACCTCTTCTGCTCTGCAGGCTCTTTATCTGTTTAAAGAGCATACTGGTTGTATGATTTTCTTACCCATTAGTTGAATGTGAGCTATAATATCATATGTTGGGTCTTTGGTATGTTTTCATGTTTTTTCTATGTGAGCCAGGTAATTCTGCAAATAAATAATCTACAAAATATGCAAACATTTTATTAAGTGTACTAAGGAAAACCAGTGGATTCCTTTAATTTAACGCAATGTTTGAGTGGTTGCTTTAAGTTCCAGAGCTTGAGGTTCTAAAGCATACAGACATATGCATTGTTCTTACCTTCACCGCTACAATTCTCTTCCCAAGCAAGTGGTAAGCTCTGTCAAAGAGAAAAATGTACAATTAATGACAATGCAAATTTTCTTAGCAATACCTTAACTTTGAAAAACGTACAAATAAACAAATCAAAATGTATATGTACACTACTCTTCAAATGCTTGGGTGCAGTGAGGTTTTTTTTTTCAGCAAGGATGCATTAAATTAATAAAAAGTGAAAGCAAAGACATTTACAAAGTTACAAAAGATTTCCATTTTAAATAAATGCTGTTCTTTGGAATGTTCTATTCATCAAAGAATCCTGAAAAAGTATGGCAAATAAGTGTTTTCAACATTAATAATAAGAAATATTTCTTGAGCGACAAACCAGCATATTAGAATGATTTCTAAAGGATCATGTGGCACTGAAGCCTGGAGTAATGGCTGCTGAAAACCCAGCTTTGCCATCACAGGAATAAATTACATTTTAAAATATATTAAAATAGAAAACATTTCTTTTAAATTTTAATATTTTTCACAATATTCATTTTTTTTGCCTATTTGTGATCATTTTAAACTGCAGCATTGATGAGCATAGGAGACTTCTTTCAAAAACATTACAGTATCTTACTGATCCTAAACTATGTGGCATAATGCATATATATGTGATATATGTGGCATATATGTCACTTATTTAAAGCTAAATATTTAGCCATGTATTACATATTTGTATCTGTATTTTTATCTTATGCATTTAAACATTTTAAACATTGCTTAAGTGTCCAAACACTTTTTGTGGCCATTGTACTCACAAAAAAAAATATATGGACAGATATTCAATGACTGACGTTTAAGGATGGAAACTATGTTCAAGATTTTAAGTCAGAGCTACCTGAGATGTACATCCATATGACTAAGACACTCAGCTGCTTTTTAAACATTTGTATTTATTTACAGATTATCAGTGGCTTAATCGCTACGAAAAAGAGCTCAGAGGAGGGGTGTCCTCATCCTAAGTGTCAAATGCAGGTGAGGTCAACCCTGAGTCAGTCACCTGCGAAACCTCAGACATTCTGAGCTGTGGAGCATTATCTGCTCCGTTCCCGTTTCATCGTGAGCTCTCCCAGACAGGCCTCCTGTTACAGGTCGAATTAACGGCAAAGCCGCAATTATTTAATTATGATCCTTGCTCATTCTGAGCAGTGGATCTGGTTACTGCAGTAGGTGCTGAAGAGGGGTTGGGTTACAATAACCCACGACACGGTCCATTCCACCAGATAATATACTATAACAACAGACAGCTGCCAAACGAGGGTGGATTCAACAACACAGGTGCACAGTATGTGTTTGTGTAAATGAGAAAGGACAGAACAAGAAAAAGACTGATTGGTTATGATTCTCTGTATGTAGGTGTGTATACGTCTGCAGTAAACAAATTCGTAACAGTGTTTGACCGTGCATGTGATTTATGGGAAATAGCTGGCTGATCTGGTTACAGCTCCAGACACCTCAACTCCGGCAAGCCTTTAATTAATGTCGCTCTAAGTGATGCGACGGCTAACTTCCCTCATTTAGGACGACGACACTCGATCCCATCTCACCTTAGTGTCCTCTGAGTGTGCACTTTACACTTCAGAAGATTCTGATCCATATAAGGCACGTAGATGCTTGCTTTGCTTATTGGTAACAAAGTATTAAATTAATATGCACTGAAAAGTACATCTCAAAAGGTTCAAGTCATTTCTGAAGCCAAGAAACACAACTGAAGAGTCAAAGTCAACTGATATCAATATCTGTTGAAGGTGGCACGGCATAGTTGGTAGTGATGGGTATATATATAGCTCAGGGCTGAATATCGGAAGGTTGCTAGTTTCACTTTGTGCATGTAGCAAGTCATAAGCATTACCATTGTGCCCTTAAGCAAGCCATTTAACCCCACGTCTCTCTATAGGGATTGTCTGTGTAATACAGTGGGTACGGAAAGTATTCAGACCCCCTTAAATTTTTCGCTCTTTGTTATATTGCTTACATTTGCTAAAATCATTTAAGTTAATTTTTAAGGGGGTCTGAATACTTTCCGTACCCACTGTATGTACACTATACGTTGCTTTATATAAAAGCATCTGCTAAATGACTACTTACTACTTACTAATGCCAACTCAACCAATGATATTGTCTAAATGGTCGCTTCAGGACATTCTGAACAGTAATGTATCCTAGTAAGCCCATTTGCAAAGTTCAGCTAAAGTCCTTGAACTTTGACCCTGCTGAGTAGTCATGCAGCGATGACCAAAGACTGACAGACGCGTGGTCAGGACGAGGTGACGTAGTGACGTGTGGTCCTGACCCCCGTAAATGTGTCTCTATTCGGTTTGTTATTTACACTCCAGAGCCCGAGGTAATGAATGCTCTGTCATGCAGTATTCATGGACCTCTCGAAGACAGCTATCCCATGCATGCGTGTTTGCAGACGAACACACACGCATGCAACCACACAAACAGGTTTCGATTACAGTGGCCAATGCGGACCAGACAGTTCTCTCCGTCTTTCTCTATGCCATCTAACCTGAGATGACCAGATGATCACCTCACCTGAAAGAAAGCCACAAAGCAGTGGTTCTCACCTGGTGGGTCATGACCCAAAAATGGGTCGCAGGTTAGTTCTAATTGGATCACAACTAGTGGGGGGGGGGATATGCAAAAGGTAAATAATTCAAAAACATTTTTTAGAAAGAAATTTAGAAAGTGACATTTGTCTACATCAATCATTCTGTATATTATTGTATCTATGTATATATTTGTTAAAATTTTTAGTGTATTTACTTAAAATACACTAAAATACATCTTTTCTCAGATATGTGAGCAAGAAACATGCTTATAAACAGCAACACAACATCAAGGGGTGCAGGTTAGGTGAAAGCCTTAGAGAAAAAAAAATTATTTATTCCTAAGAAAAGCAATTTAAGCGAATACCCTTGGCGCCATCCTGTATGCAGTCTGATGGTCACAAAGGTGTGTGTTTTGCATAAAGGAGAGTGCGTGTATGTGAGCGAGCACAGTAGAGGTGATCGAGGACAGCTGTGGAGATGGATGGGAGACTGGCCTAAATTTCACTATGAGCAACATCAGAGATTATATTACATTACATTTCACCTGCCGCTACCTACACTGAGGAAGAAACACAATAACAGTGAATGTTACCCTTCTTTAAAGATCATGAATATGTGGTGAACAAAATAGAAATAAAAAAATAAAAAAATAAAAACAAACATTCCTGGTATTAAAATTTTGCATTGGTTTTTAGTGCTTGTTCCAAACAGACTGCCTAGGTTCAGAACTGTATTTCTTTATCCAACACTTTAAAGAAGGAAAACACAGGGGAAAAGGTTTGAATTAAGAGATGAATGCAAAATTCAGCAGTTTCTTTTGTTTGAGGGGAAAAAATATAATTCTAGGCAAACACATTTAGTGCTGAGCATGCCAGACTGCATTCTTGTCTGGGTTGCAGTATTGGCTTTTTTAAAATGGTTGAACAATTTCCAACAACCCAGAGGTGCTCCTCCAGTAAGAGAAGCAAATGATGAGCGTCTGTGTTATCCACAAAAGCACACAGAGCCTTGCCAACAGTCACTTGGTTCAAGAAATGGACAAAATTATTTGTGTGTGCAAGATGATGACCTTGCCCTGTCCTGCAACTGTATAGTCTGTGGTATATAGCTTTGGCACAGAAAGGAGCTTTAGAAGGATCAAAAAGAGTCACTTCAACTTCACAAGCACTAAATCAGCAACATCCTTAATTCGCATGTCTCAAGACATTTAATGAGTCATAATATTGGGGGGCTGTTGAAGGATGTCTGAAAACATGAGCACAAGTGAGACCAATGTAAAATTAATGAGAACATGAGTGCGGACAACAAAACACTTTTTCCCTTTTCAGTTACATTTTCATGATTAAATTTGCCGGCTCTAGTTAAAACCTATAGATTGCACTAAGGGTAAAGAAGGCCTTTTAAGAGGTTGACCACAATCAGTCTAATTAAATCTCAAGGAAAAAACCACGAGAGCAAAACTCACTTGTAAACTGTTCCGCCATTTCCATGGCCAAGCTGCTCCTGGTACTGGAGGTCATGTTCATTGATCTAAACAAACAGAGAAAAAAACAGAGAAAGACTCTGCAGTTATCCAAAGAGAACAGAATCTAAATAATCTAAAAGGGGGATGTGTGTATGCATGCATTCATAGACATGTCTCTATGAAAACAGCAGTTTTCTATTTTTTTTCTTTTGCTCAGTAAATGTGTAAAATGGTAATATAAACTGAAGTGAGCTGATGAATTAAGAGCATGAAACTAAGGAAAACAGCGAGGCAGAGACAAAAGAGACACCACAATTTTAACAGCAACACCAAGTGGAAAAAAAAAACCTACTGAAATTCCAGTGTATGGTCAATTGTGGACAAAAAAAGGAGGATCAATACAACATTTGCTGTCTGATTTATAAAAGGACAACAGCAGCAAGGAGAGTGATGGTAATTTTAATGACTATTTGTTTGTCTGTGCTGTCTTATTCGACTTTGATAAAAGCTGTCAAAATGGTAATACAATACAGACCATTCTGACACAAAGAGGCCAGAGGGACCGGTACGTTTTCACATTCAGTCAGTTTTACGCACATCCCGAATGCCCTCCATCTTTATTTCAACCTCTTGATTTGAATATAAAAATAAAATGCATGCTGTAGGATCTTAACCCATAGACCTTCAAGTAAGACTAAATGTCAGTGGCCAATTGTATGAAGGTAAAAGAGTAGCAAAACTCCAGAGCTTGTTGATTTGAATGTGAGAACTTGTCATATTAATATTCATATTTGTAAGTTGAAATTTACAGTATACTCACGGCTCTGATGTGAAAAGTTGAATCTTTCGATTTGCACACGCAGACAATAATCAAAACACCAGTGTTTTGAATTCGGAGTTGCAGATTAATAGTTACAAATGTGTAAAATTACATTCACATAAACAAAATGACAGACATAAAAGTGTACAGCATATTTACATTTGCACTTTATTTCAGTTTTGCTGTACAACAACAAGTTGGCCCCCATTCCAGCCCCATCCCCGGTTCTGCTCTCTCACATCTACATGTACAAGTGCACAAGTGAGTTTTGCTATAGGAATATCGCGAAAGGAGTAGCAAAAGTCAAAGCGCTAAGATTTTAAGTTGTACTGCCAGATCTGAGAGGTTGTAAGTGCTGACTTGTGGTTGTACAGCGAAACTGAAGTAAAGTGCAAATGTAAATATGCCGTACACTTTTGTGTCTGTTGTTTTGTTTATGTGAATGTCATTTTACACATTTTTTACTATTAATCTGCAACTTTGAATTCAAAACACGGGTTTTTGATTATTGTCTGTGTGTGCAAATCGAAAGATTAAGCTTTTCACATCAGAGCCGTGAGTGTACATTTTAGGGCCGAGTAAAAAATATAGATATCTCGATATTAATCGATTCTCATTTTTACGGAACGATATCGATTCTTAAATCCCAACAATCGATTAGTCTAGCCTTTTGTCAGTTAATGGATGGAACGTTGAAGGGCACCTCCCATCCAATAAATCGCAATAAGCATTGTGCTTTGGTACTTTTAATATGAAACAAAGTCTCTGATTTCAAATTCTGTCTATTGTATTGCAGTACTCAAACAATAAATGCCGCTTTGGCACGGTTTAATGTGGAGTGACAGATTGCTGTAGCGCCTCAGATCAACAGATGCAGCAGAGCGAGGCGCACGTGAACTAATCATCTCCTCCACATTAATACCAGTTTCAGCACAAAATAAACATGACTAAACATCCGAAGGTAAGTTAAAAGAAAGAGTACAACTTTACAATCCGTATCCTGTCTCATGTAATCTCTCAATCAGTGTTTCAGCCGCGCAAAGATGTCAATATAACGACTTGTAAACAATGTCACGTAACGTCAAATTTACCGTTTAAAACATATTCGGTGACCATAAACTCATTAATCATATAGAAAAATAAACTGTAGAGAGGGGCATTTTGCTAAATATATGCACCATATAACATATTCATTATAATTTATGTTGGAATAAATCCATCAAGATTTTATGACAGCCACCATTATGTTTATATTTAAAAAAAATACAAATTCAAGTAGAAATATTATTATGTAATTGTAACTTTATTATTTTAAAATCTTCATTAAGTGAAATTTTAACAAATCAGTTAATTTTAGCCTTCAATATTAAAGTAATGTAGTACCAACTGACTCTCATATATATTTTACAGCATTAGTTGAGAGATTTTTTTTCCTTGAGAAAATTTGGCATGTACTGTACCTGATATATAGCCAAAATAATCGATATTGAAGTGAATCGAATCGGTAATCGAATCGCAAGCTTGTAAATGAGAATCTAATCGAATTGTAAAATTTGTGTCAAAACCCAGCCCTAGTAAATTTCAACTTATATATACGAATATTAATATGACAAGTTCTCACATTCAAATCAACAGGCTCTCATGTTTTGCTACTATTTTACCTTCATAAATTGCAACAAACCTCTCAAAATGGTTTAACCATTTTCATAACTTAAGGGGTATGTAACAACCAGAAGCAGATTCCATAGGGCCAGAGTATCTCTGAGCCTGACAAAGCAGAAAAAACGCTGTGAAGATCACTCTGGTAATCTTCTGACCAGACCTATAAATGCAGTTGCTAATTTCAACCGCGGAGGACTATTTTCAGATCCAGCTTTGAACTGATACATTCAGGTAACAAATTAATTCCCACTTGATCATTAACTTCCACTTAAACAGAGTTCAGAACAACATTTTTTCTTTTGAATCAGATCTTTTTGAATCATATTAAAACCATGAGATAACATTTTGTCAATAAATATTTATATAAATAAATTATAACAATTTTATAATAATAATAATGCTGTTATTATTATTATTATTATTAACAGCAGCATTTTTTTCATTAATATATTATTATTATTATTATTATTATATTTAATTAAAATTAAATCTTCTACCAAAGTAATATATTATTATTTCCATATATCAAGAACTATATGCCTTGCAGTCTTAACAATCCATTCAACAAAAAGTCATTTGTTTGTGATGGCTAATGTGTCTAGTTAGGTGTCAGTATTTGTGCGTGTTGTTGTAGGGGAAGTGATTCCCTTTGTGAACCAGACCTGATGTGAAGTCAATGCTCTGTTGACGGGCCGCACCCTGACTACAGGGGCCCAGTGCAGGACATTTGATTAGGCTGAAGTGTATGTATGTGTGTGTGTGTGTGTGTGTGTGTGTGTGTATGCGTGAGGGAGGATACTAGCGCTCCATTAACTGCACATGTTACAGGTGTCACAGGGGATGTGACTGTATTAATTGTCTATCTGACACTTTAGTTGACAGACTGGCAAGCTGGGGGCCTGTGGAGGGGGAGAAAAGGTGACAGGGAAAGCAGGAAGGGGTGGGCAGAAGGACACACAGATACAGCTCTGATCACTCAAGATAAAGATCTCAACCATACCACAGAGAAAGGGTCAGTGAACAGCCCGTTAGGAGCAATCAATAGATGCCTTATCACATTCACACACAGGCTATGGTGACAAATTAAATGGGATAAGTGATAGAAAGCATCACTGGTTGAGTGGTAACAGCATCACTAACAAGATAATCAGATGCGATTGAAGTGGGAATACTGTGCAGTATATGTGTGTATCAAAATGTATGCCGAAGTAAAAGTGTGTGTGATGTGAAGGGAGGGCTACTATACCTGTCCATTTGTCAAAATCTTCTTAAGCTCAGCTGAAGATTTCTTTAAAGTGCTTAAGCAAAAAGATAAATTATAACATTTTATACAAGATGCCTCAAAAATCTGACATGATGAGTAAATTGTTTAGACAGAGCAGTTACTTCACATTAGAAATGTTAAGACAAGACTCATTTGTCTAGAATGATCTGCTACACTTCACTTCTCTACATCACTGCTGAATACACATGCTGGCCTTCAGAATGCAGGTCTTTTTTCTGTGCCAGGGGATTTAATTCTCTAACAACAAAATCCAGTTAACATTGAAAAAAATGTTTCTGCTGTATGTTTAGGGTATGAAGACTGCAAACTCCTGATAGCATTTCTCTTTCTCTTGTAAAGAGAATGACATTATTGAGACCCTTATAACGAAATTAATCAATATCACCTTTAACTCAGCTTTAAACAATTTAAAAGCTAAACTGCAACTGTTCACAACAAGGCCCTATTGATTAAAATTTTATTTTCCTGAAAAAATGCTTATTAGCATGCATATTACTAGAATATTAGCCATTTATTAGTACTAATTAAGCACATATTAATGCCTTATTCTACATGACCTTATTCTACATTCCTAATCCTACCCAGTACCGAAACTTAACAACTACCTTACTAACTATTAATAAGCAGCAAATTAGGAATGTATTGAGGGAAAAGTCATAGTTAATAGTGAATAAGTGTTCCCTATTCTAAAGTGTTACCGCTTTTCTACTTATATCATGACTTATTTCCAAAGCACAAAGGCACCATAATGGGACAAAATTATCGATAAAGAAACAGGAATTACATTGGTAACATACACTAAAGTTCAAAAGTTTGGGGTTTTTTTTTGATTGAAAATATAGTAAAAACGGTAGTAATGTTAAATATTAGTACAAATAAAAATAACTTTTTTATTTTAATATACATATGTATTTATGTGATGGCAAAGCTTAATTTTTAGCAGCCATTACTCCAGTCTTGAGCGTTACATTATCCATCAGAAAACATTCTAATATGCTGATTTGATGCGCAAGAAACATTTATTTTTATTATAAAAGTTAAAAACATTTCTGCTAATATCAGATTTCCCTGCTTAGTTATATAGTTCAGAACTGTAAATTGATTACCAAGCAATGTAGCAAACTTGAGGCATTAATATAGAATTGTATTTGAGTGTACGCTTAATAGCGTCGAACATAGCTGATCCAAACAGAATTTATAGTCAACTATTGTTTTCGTAAAAGATATTTCTACTGAATCATTAATGCAGTTGCTTTACTGTAAATATATCTGTATTTATAAACAAAATAAATCTTGGTAATAAGATTTTTCTCTCAATGAGGGCAGGCATGATCTGGGATCACTCACCTATCATTGGACCGGGAATCAGCCGCAGAGGAGCCCCTGCCACTCGAGGATTCGGGCCGCGTGTTCACCTGCGGCCAAACAAAGACAATCAGAGCCCTGTGCTAATTAACCTGTCATTTAACAGCAAACTGCCTGGTTTGGCCGCAAGGTTAATTGGCTTTTGTGGGGGAGACAGAGAGAAATAAAGAGAGAGGCTTGAGGAAAGGGGTCACTTCATCTATCAGGCAAAATTAAATATAACTCTGGGAACAACCTTGGGTTAAAAAAAAAAAAATGAATGAATCAACATCACGTCCTTTATTTGTCATTAAAGAGGATTCACGAAGCTGCTTATTGTCAGAGCCACGCTAACAGATCAGAGCGGGAGAATGAAGGAAAAAGCTCAAAGAGAGTCTCTATATACACAAGTAGATTAATTGAGGTCTGAAGGTCGTATAGTGTAGTGCAGTAAAGCAGTGATTCTCTTCTTAATTAGTGTCTACGAAGACCTCATTTAGATCAGGTTATCAGGGTTTTTTTATCCTCTTCAAGCCAATTAATCCAGAATTAAACAAAAACAAGAACAAAACAAGAATAAGATGGTCCGTATCATACTATTTAGGTAAGCAGAAACTATACTACCCTAAGCTTGGGGTTAGTAAGATTTTTTTGTTAAAGAACTTAGTTTTATTCAGCAAGGATGCATTAATTAATCAAAAGTAACAGTAAAGACATTTACAATGTTGCAAAAGATTACTATTTCAAATAAATGCTGTTCTTTTGTATTAATCAAAGAACTTTCTATGATCACCACATCAGTATCTTAGAATAATTTCTAAAGGATCATGTGACACTGAAGACTGGTGTAATGTCTGCTGAAAATGTATCTTTGCCATCACCATCACAGGAATAAATTACATTTTAATTTGTATTAAAATACAAAACAGCCATTTTAAATTGCAATAATAGTTCATAATATTGCTGTTTTTACTGTATTTTTGATCAAATAAATGCTGTTGTGAGCATAAGAGACTTCTTTCAAAATCATGAAAAAAATTCCACCGAGCCCAAACTTTTGAATCATCACACAAACTTTAAATATGTTTGTTTTGACATAGCAAACTTTTGAATAACGTTATCTAATTCAGCAACAAAGAACCAATAATTCTTATTTTAGCAGATTAAAACAAATGCAAATGAAAAGCATTGAGGGGGTAGAAAATGAGGGACAGATAGACAAAGAGTCTTGACTTCAATTGACTTTTCAATAAGTGGTACACAGCATAACCAATCCATGCCCAACTCTGCTGAAACAATCACTGAGGCACATACCTTCAGGCCGTGTATGTTGCGGATCCCTGGGGTCTTACCGGCTGAAAAGAAAATGGACTAGATTGTAGATCACGTGAGGCCAGAGAAAAAGAACATGAGCAGAATGTATTAAATGTTTAAAATGACAGAATGAGTCTATCTGCAACATTGCAAAACAGACATGCTGAGATGCAGCTTAGGGAGCTTTTAACTATCATAAAGAATATTGTGTGTGTGTAAATGCATGTATTCAGAAAGAAATTGCTTCAATAAACCAAACTGATATTTATTCGTCTCTCAGAAGCCATTGAGGATGACATAAAGTGGTATTTTGCTAACAGAAAATGCTCACACACACATGTGAGCAGGGTATTGCTGAGTATGGGGATTTGAACTGTGATCTAGGGTCTAGGTGGCCCTCGGGCACGTTTACTGTTGCGGTGTTGAACTGTAATTTGGACCAGCAGACTAACACACACTATACACACCTCGTGGAAATATCTGTAAAGGCTCAGGTAACAGTCCATTGATGCGTTGCTCCATCACTGTGTTGCAATACTGCGGAGAATAAAGTGGAACAAAACTCTTAAAAAGCAGCCCAATTCATTTTTTCAGTATATTACATTGAGAATCAATATTATGCTCGATGACGGTCTTTCAGAAAAAAGTCCCATGGAGTACATAAAAGCAATCTTATGTCAAAAAACACATTCTCTTTCTCTCCGAGTCACTTGCATGTTGGGAGGAAAAGAAAAGATGCTAAATGAATCGGGCACCCTGCTCAGGTAATCTTTTTGAAACACCAGTCACCCTCTGTATCAGTTCATCCGTTGTAATGGCTGCCAAGCGCAGACCAATCACTGAGTTTTCTCATTTCAGCCTGACGTAAAAGCAATCTGCCAGTAACGGCTGCCTATTAATTAATTACTCTGCATAATAGGCTGAAATGGAGTCTGGCATTTATAAACCTATGATATTATTAATGTCATGGCAAGCTTTTTGTGCAATTATTTTTTTGTCTTTAATTAATCCAATAATAATTTAATTATACCATTAATAAAGAAATTGTAAAGACTTGTAAGACTTCACATGATATTATATATACTGTATGTGTGTGTGTACACATATATGAAAAAAATATATATTTTACATTATTTGTTATTTTCTATATTATTTATGATTTATTTATATTTACATTTTAAATATTTATACTCAATATTAAAAACGGATCTTGCAGCTGATAAGCAGTAACTTTTGCCGAATTAATTTTAATACTTGTCCTCAGAAACTTGTTTCATACATGTACATTATATGTGATATTTTATTTTATATATATTTAGGTAATTGCAATTACCTAACAATTTCATATATTTTATTTATTATTTTACACTGTATAAATGTTCAATATTTTTAAGTCATCTAGCACTTTTGCTGATTCTATTTCAAAAGAACTCCGCTCTCTTTCAAACATACGCACAGATTTTTGTCTCCTGCCAAAAGAACATTCAATTTGATGTTTCGGTTAACAGAACCATCTGGTCGCTCGTTCTCTTCTCTCAGTCCAGCCAGAGACCTTTGTGCCCAAACACAGAGCCCCCATCACACACAATAAAGCCATTAAAAACCACAGATCCAGATGGACAAGAGAGGAGGGGAGAGTGTCAGTGTTTGAAAGAAAGACAAAGACAGAGAGAAAGAGAGACAAAGGCAGAAAAAGACAAAGGTCAAAAGCAAGCCTAACTGAGGGGCCGGTGGTACAGTGCTGTCCCTCCGCCGAGTGCGAATGCATGATGAACACGCCGGAGCGTGCGCGAGGACATGCAGAGGAAGCAGTGTTAGAGCAGCTGTTATTAAATACCCTATTTATCACTGTCACCTCTCTGCACTGCCTGCAGGCGCTGAAACCATGTAGCTCTACCAAAACACACACCTTTAATTTTCCACTTGGTTGCTTTATCGATTAGGGCTGCAATTACCTAACTAATCTGTAACAGTGTATTAAAAGAAACCTCCCTTTGTTGGACAATAACTAAAGGCAGTTTGATCACAAGAAGGCAGCTTGAGAGCTGGAGGGAACATAGGAGTCAGACCTCCGCTCTGTTGGACCCCGATCATTAACACACCCTGAGTAAAGCGCTCCGTAATTAGCCGGCCCAGCCTGGGAGATCAGTGCCTGTGTGTGTGTGTTAGCGAGGCTACATCTGACATGGGTCAGTCTTTAACATTGAACTAACATCCTGGAAAGGCTGACGGTAAGAAGCAGCTCACCGGGGACCCAGAACATCTCAGAGACCTCAGACTGATGATCACTGCTGGAGTTAAAAAAAAAATTTTAAACCTGCAGTGAAGACAGTTTGAAGGTCGGATTCCACCAGAGAGCTTGGCGAATTAGCTTACACACCTGTAAAGCAAGAAGTCATCTCTTAATTCCTATTAAGTCTACATAACAGTAGATCCCTTCACAAGGAATTAATTGAAGCAAATTTATAAAGGTCCCCACAGAGACCCCAAGAGCCACCAAGGCAAAGGGCACCCGCTTGAAATATGACCACAATGATCGGTTAAATGTAGGCGCAAGCTTCCGAACATGTTACACGCATATTAAATTCCCCCCTTCTCAGCAGCTTGCGCTCTCCCCAGAGGAGCAAACGGCATCATGGGAGGAAAAACTCATTTTCAGTAAAAGTGGACTCGTTGTGCTGTTAACCAAAATGCGATGGGAAGGCAATCTGCAACGCGCGGTAATATTCACTGTCAGAGTAATATGGCCTCAAAGGATTCTTTGCTGATGTGCGATGGCAAAATCTCTCCGTGTACAAGCATTACTGCAGATTGTTGCGATAACAAATGAGAACACTCACATTCCCACAGATATCTCCAATGTCAGAATGTGTGTCTCAAAACCAGCCACACGGCGACCGCAGAATTAATCAAGACAGGTTGAATTAAAAGTTGAATTACACTCAGGCAGTGCAGGACACCCGCGAGACATCATTGTCAGTGTGTCACCTTCTGGCCTAATCTGGCTAATGACTGCAATGGCCTTGAGAGGTACCACTTTGATAAAGCATCTAAAAATAAATAAATATCAAATCTAAGTGATTTCATTTCCTGCAGAAGCAGTAGTTTTGAAGCCCATGGCTACTCGAGAGTCATTGAGAGCTGATGGGGGGTAAAAGACAACACCAGCTGAAAGTGGATTTTGAAAAATTCCTCTACCCAGGAGGGCTGTGCTTCTAATGAGGCGAAACTTTAAGTATTGAATAATAAATAATAAAAGCTGATAGTTCATTTAACTTCCACTGTACTTCACATGGGGAAAAACTATTACGAGTCATTACGCTTGGTGTCCACAATGTGTGAGCAGTAAGTATTGAAAGCACTTTTACGGCGGTCTCAAAAGAAAAAAGTTAAAAACAACAAACAGAAATCTGAGAAAGATAATGCATTCCTGGACTTGAAAAGAAAGACTGTTTAAATAGGTAATCAGGCAAAAGTTTACGATAGCTTTTTATTAAACGCATGAGACACAAATATTTTGTTTTCATTAACGTTAACGTTTTCAATTTGTGCCTGCTCACAGGGGAAGCCACTGCCTGAGTCAACACAAAAATAATGAATAATAAAAAATAATATTACAATCTTCCCTTTGCTTATCTTGCTTTGTTAACACCTCTTTAATGTAAAAGGGGGGTGCAAGCCAGAGTTGCCATGGTAACATCAAGAGGCACAGCCAGAAAAAGAAAATAGATGAAGAAATTGAAGAGGAAAAAGAAAATATGTAGCTACTTGTCATCATTGTCAATAAGCAAAGTAATTAAAAACACTTTCCCCAAGGGTAAATAGATCTGGAATAATAGATTTGTAATAGCTTTTCCCTTCCAACAAAAACACTTTCAGCATACAAAAGTCTAATACAACAGACTGTAACAGAGCTCAACAGTGACCACCCACGCTTCAGCAGCCTTGGTTCCGGAAGTTTTTTTTTTTTTTGGTCTATTTTCTCCATAGGCATTTTATTATAGCATTTTATTGGAGAGTCTCATGAACCAACCAGATCCGAGATGAGGTATCGTAATATATCGATAGACGATAACCGTGGCACTTCAAAAATGAAATACTGTTATCGTGTTAATACTACACACTCAGTGACAGTCCCATTTATATGGTTGATACTCCAGCATAGTTGGTGATGGTACAGCACCTTAACACTGGTTACCACCCATCATAAAACAGAAAAAAAGAAAGATGCAGTTATTTTTGTATGCATTTTTGTACAGCTCTCTCTCTCCATCTCCCTAGAATTATATTTTGGGTATGATTTATTGGAGAAAACAAAGTTAAAGATGAATTTGACTGATAGTTTTTTTCCCTAAAATTTCTATAGATATCCAAATAAATTATTTTGGCCACAATAACCAAGCAGTGAAAATCTGATATTGTGACAGCCCTATCACAAACTATGATTTATTTTAGATTTATTGTAATATTAGCATAGACACAAATACATAAGTACCTTAAAAGTGCAGCGAGACAGACTTAATTACATCATTTGCAATGCTTCGCGCAATGCTCTTTTGTCAGAAGTGTTGTGCGACTTCTCTGATTGGTGGAGTTTTGTTTACAATTATAGGCAATGTAGTTCTTTACTGGCAATCTGACTATGAAACATTTAAGAAATTATGCTGAAACCATACTGTTTAACAGCAAAACAAGGGACTCAGCTTCGTTTATACATCAGGGATACTCACATACGACAGCATGGCTTTGAGCTCCTCATCACTGCGAACTGTGATTCGGTCACCAACTTCATCCTCATCTGAAATAAACAAGAGCACATCTGAATCATCTAAGAGCTAATCACTTGTCTATATAAACAAACATTTTTATCATCCATTCAGCAAATTTTTATATTTACTTTTTTGCACGATGTTTGCCCCTTATGATCAACTGTTTTTAGTTAAATAAAGATAATAGTATTGCAAAGAAGAAAAGACAGTAGTTATTCATTAATATTTTCTTATTGGTTAAAACTGTTCTACTGCCTATACTGATAGTAACTTCCTTTAAAATAGCTAAATAATTTAAATACAACAACAATGCTCACATTCAAAAGCTGTGACTGTGGCTTCAGGCATGACATCCTTGATCGCGGCCTGCCAAACAAGAGAATCACTGAGCAATCACACATTTGACTGACAGCTGTCAATCAGCACCACTGTCCTAACAACCTCTCATCAGGAAATGACATTCTCCATGAAAGCTCTCTTTCTCTAGAATGTACTGAGAGATCACATGAAAGCACACTGTGACTAAAGTCAAATCAGCAACTCACCAGCAAATCACTGAAGTTGAGATGTGATGGAGAGTCCACTGAGGAGTCCATGTCTCCCACCGGTGTCTTTATCCGAATGACGATTCCCTCAGATTCCATGCTGCACAGGTTATTCAAAACAAGTAAAAGCATAACAGAAGCACATCGAGAAACATAATCTTGGCTTTCGGTGCAGATTCGCAGACACACAGCAGCTGTACTGTACAGCAGGCTAGACAGCTAGCTGCTTAGCTCACTAGCAGTGAAGAAAACATGCGAGTATTTCCCACACAAACCCCTAATAACCGAGCGACATGTCATTCCAGATGTACTGCCTACTGTTAATCAGATTTTAACTATGGTTTAAAACAAATTTAAACATGAAAAAGCATTTTTTTCAGCAGTTAACAAACTGTCAACAATGAAAGTAAAGCAGAGGAAGTTTAGCGGAAGTGTTTTGACATTTTCCCGGAAGCTGAACGTCCATTCGAGGCACATAAAAGCCTCTCAGAGTAGTTGACTGGTAGACGTTACTCGCGACGTTTCTGTGTCAATTATTGTTGCCTGTATGTAATTATTTTTTCAAAAATGTTGTCATTAAATTAATGAATTTATTAAATGATTAATAACTCACTTACACATCACTTTGTAGGCCAATTAGTTTTTTTAAAACGTTGCGAGCAAGTTGCTACACAAGGCTAAGATACATTATATGTTTTTAATTGTTTGTATAATTTTAACCACACACATCATTTTAGTCATATATCAACCATAAACTGCATTGCAAAATCTTTCTCTCGCTGTCTGTTATTTCAGTTTAACACATTTTTTCAGCTTTCACTTTGAAATAAAGTACATTTTTGCTTTACCTTAATTATTTTACATTTAAATATATTCAAGTAGTCACGTAATATTGGAGGTACAGTAAAATGGTCATTATCACAAAATCAACACTGACAGTTTGATCAAGACTGATGCAGAGACACAGTGCTATATTTCTTCTTACATAAAAAATGATTTCAACAATATAAATATATAAATACAAATAAATATTTATTTGCTATAAGCAGGGTAATATAGTCACGTGGTCTTTATTGCTGTAGATAATTTCCTACTTTACCTATTTATTATTTACTTCATCTCTTTCATATTTCACCTCTATTACTTACTTTACTTCTTTAGTTGTAAACCATTTAAATAGCATTAGTATTTAAAGATTTTCACTTTTGCACAACCCGTTAGCATGTAATTGAATGTACAACAAAGAACATTTAGTGCGCTGTTGATTACAGCCTTATCTTAGGAATGACTCATTCGCTCAGTCATGGTCACAGCCTGATTGCGAAAGCCTCAACAGACATTGATCCTTCAGCGAAGTAGAGTTTTGTTTCTTTCGACCTCAGAGTCCAGCTAATGCAGCTTTGATACGCCTATAGGCCACAGGCAGGATTTAGAGCATCATGTAATGATAAACAGCTATGAAAGCTAAGTCTAACCCATGGCGAGCTGAAATCCACAATGATCGCAGCCTTCCAAACAGGATCAGGTCTCACATCAAACTTTAAAACAAGTGTTTCCAGCCTACCAATGGCATATCCTATTATCAGTGCTAAAGCTGCCCTGTCAAGATGGAAGAATGCCACCTTAAATGTTTTCTTTGCTCACTTTGCAAGAGAACAAAAGCAAAACGCTTAAATACGCAATGGGGTTGAGTTCAGTTGAAAGAAGACCATTCTCGTCTCAAACTACAATTGAAAGAGTCAGGTTTTAACCCCCTGCATGTTTGTAAAACTTACTAAGAGCTCTCTGTTTAATGATCAGATTATATTACTTGCATTACAATTGCCATCTAGGGATTTATACTTTTGATAGCTCTAAAATGTACTGTTTGTGCAAACAGCTGAATACACAAGCGGCTCATAAACACACAATCGAGGTCTTTCTGAATGACTCATCAGCTGCTCTGCATGACATTGATTGTGTGTCACACAGCACAATAAGTAATGGCTGAGTCTCATTGTTGCAGACGTAGAGGCTGAATTGTAGACAGAAATGGAGTACCAGAATCAATGTATCTAGCTGCAAAGCGCTGATTAGAAGAGAGATGTAATTGCAGTTTGTCGTCCCTCTGTGAACCTGCTGTTAATGTCTGGTACAGAATTAAAAAAAAACATGAACATGCCAAAAAAAACATGCCACATCGCAAACACAATTATCAGAAATCAGACTGGACCTATAGCCACAAGGAAGAGCATACGACAGAGTGAGAGAGGGCTGGAATCCAGTGTCTGGTAATAAAAAAACATTTTATCAGCCCAAACGGTCTTCTCTCTCTTCCTCTCCATCGACAAGCTGCTTAGCTGAAACAGAGCAGTTTGACTACCCATGAGCTGCTGCAAGAACAGGAATAAAATACAAGCTGGGAAAGTTTCCATTACAGCAAAATTGGTAATGATAATTTCTGGGTTTTCCCACAAAAACAATTTTTTTTTGATATTATTGTTTGTAAAATTAATTAATTTTAGTAGAAAAACAACAAGTTCTTCAGACAGTATTTTGAACAGAAGTACAAATCAAGCATCAGGGAGTTGTTACCTGCTGTAAATTTAGAAGTTTTGATCAGACTTCTGAAACTTCACATATTTGTTCCTCAGCTTGTAAAAGATCAGCACTACATTCAATATTGACCATCACACCTCTCACCCACCTGATCCACTGCATCTGGAATGTGTCCACCACTCTGATTGGAATGGCTAAAGTGTGAGTAATATGTAAATTAGATCATCATTGCTTCCATAAAGTAGTGATGCACATGCATAATAAATTGGCTTGTTAATTACCTGTTTATTTTGCTCATCTATCACCGTAGAGGGGTCTGCATTGGGTCCCAACTATATCTCACTTTGCATAAAGAGAAATATAGTTGCCATATAATGTTGGACAACATTTTCTGTTTTTGTGCAAATAAGTATTTTCTAAATAATATATTGCACATTGAGTATATTTTATTCTATTATTTTTATATTTTGTGTTCTATTGTGTCTATAGTTACTTTCTAGCTGCATTTTATGTACAAATTTTACACCTCAATTTCTTTTAAGTCACCCTATCTACAATAATGGTATATTTGGATTTTTTTTTCTTTTAAACTTCAATGAAATTGATGTCAAATTAAGTAAAGATCAAGTTACACTGCCATTCAGTTCAGAACAAAGTAATACTTCCATTCATCAGGGATTAATTAATTTGATGTAAAATTACAGTATAAACAGTAAAGGCATTCATAATGTTGCAAAAAATATTCAAATAATCCTTAAAAGTGTTTCTCCACAAAAAAATTATACAGCAGCACAACTTTTTTCAACACGGACATTAGGAAATGTTTCCTGAGCAAAATAAAAAACAGAAATTACAATAATATCATGAGACACTGAAGACTGGAACAGGAATAAATTACATTTTAAAATATATTAAAATAGAACATTTTGATCCATTTTTTCAGTTAGCAGACTTAGTAAGCATAAGATCGTACCGGCCATAAAAGAGCATAAAATCTTGCCGACCCCATCTTTTTAATGGTAGCATACATTCTGAAAGTGATTTACAAACAGCAGTCAGGAGGTTTTTAGGGACCTCCTTTTTTTTTATAACTTTTTTACCTTTTTATATAATACATTTACTGTTCTGTAATACTCAAGTCTCTTCAAGACAATACACTGAATCTCAAACAAGTCAGTTCTAAACTAGCTTTGCCACATCTGAATTTGTACAAGAATTATACAAAATAGTAATATTTACAATGATAATATTTACAAGAATGTGTTGTTATGCTGTGCACTAACTGACAAACGCCCTCACTGTCTACTGCCAGCACCACATGTTGTGGCCTGGCTTTGCCATGTCTGCCCTAACATCTGTTTGTTAAATGGCATCATTATAAGCATATTAAGAGGTCAACAGGATAAAGGTTTTGTGTTTAAACTAGTCCATTTCCACAGTCATATCAGAGCAGAAACACTGTGAGAGGGGAGTTGATAAATCAAGCCTGAGGGGGTCTAATAATAGCTCTGAGCCAGGTAGCACAGCCCTCTGAGCTTATCTTATTCGTCACCTTAAACGTTCTGCCAGCATGTATGCTAATGTACTCACACCACTGCCTCTAGACCTGACCTATACTGAAGACATAATAAGTGCTCGCTCCTTCTGTTTTAGACACCCCCAGATCCAGTAATATCTGCAGTACCATCCATACAAGCATACTCACATCTTATTTTACACTTTAAATTGATTCTAGATTCTATCTGTCTTGCACATTAAAATTGCACCTGGCACACTATTACAGACCAAAATATAGTATATTATATATGCAATATACATTTTATACATATTTTTATACTTACTATAAATCATGTATATTGTGTATTTATACTACCATTCAAACATTTGGTGCCAGTAATATTATTTTTTTAATTAATACATTTATTAATGCATTATATATATTTTTTGTCTGTAACTAGAGTTGTATGAAAAAGATTTTAAAAATCTAATTTTGTGTTCCACTAGAACACAAAATGACAATAGGCATTTCTTACAAAAGATTTCTATTCCAAATAAATTCTGTTCTTTTAAACTTTCAATTATATCACAGAATCAGTTTCCATAAAAATATAAAAATAATAAAATATGAACAAAAATAAAATTATATTAAAATACTTCATTATAATACATTATATAATTAGTTTTTACTGTATTTTTTTTTTCAAATAAAAGTTGTTTATTTTGCAATAATAAATGAATGACTGTGTGTGATCCCACTGATTATGTGGATACCTAACAATGAATAAATGGATGAATGAAGGAATGAGCATGGAATATTGATTTATTATTTTGATTTATCAACCTTACTTGATATAAAAATAAAATTAAACACAGGTTTCATGGATGAGTTATATAGTGTTGCCATTGAAAACATGAACATTTTTGAGCACTAATGCTGCAACTGACCAATCAGAAAGAAGCGTAAATTGGCTAAGAAATGTATCTGGATTCTAATTTCGATTTTGATTGGATATTAGAACTAGAGCTGAATATGGTCTCTCAACATTCATGTTCTAGTATAAATTTTCTCTTCTATCAGGCTGATCACATATCACAGCTTCCTCATCTCAGTTATATTTGAAGACAGGCCTAATGGCCAGAACTACAGGCAAATGTATGAAAGTACCAGAGGTATCGAGGTATTCATCCCAGTATCGATCCTAAAGCAGCTCCTGTATGTTTAATCCAGCAGCCCGTATGACGAGCAGGCTCCAGAAGGGTCATTTACAGCGTCTGTAAGTATCCATCCGCACTACCCCATTATAAAACATAACAAAAGCAACTGAAATACAAGCCTGGACTGTGCCTGTGCTCTATAGCATTACTTTTTCATTAAAAACCACAATCCTGCAGC